CTCTCTCTCTCTCTCTCTCTCAGTGCATACTGGGAGTGTTTTGTAGTTGAGAGGGCGTGTGGAGGGCTCTATCCTTACTTATTTTCTTGATTCTTTACTTGGTCTTTTCTTTCAATTGTTATTTTCTATGGTGGAGGGCTTAATGCACTGGTAGTTTAGCGGTACCCACTTTTTTTTTTTCAAAGTTAGAGAGGAAGAGGAAGGAGTTTTAGTTTCCTGGGGTTTGAACGGTGTGGTGTGCGCGATGGCTTCGCAGCCTATCGCGGAGGAGACACTGTTGTTACGGCATGGATTCAGGTGTGTTCCTGAGAATGGAGTTAAGGTGGAGGAGGTTCTGCTCGCGGTCGGCGAACAGGTAGGAGCTGAATTTATACATTCCGCATCCAGAATGAACAAAGCTGTGGTTGTGTTCATAAAAATTGCAAATTTGGTGGGTAGGCTCAATGATAGTGGAATATTTGTAAGGGATGTGTTGGTACCGATTTCTCCTCTTTCGACTCCTTCGACTCGGGTGGTAGTTGCAAATCTGCATCCGTTTATTACGGATGATCAAATCCGGAAAGAGCTGAGTCGTTCTGGTAAGTTTGCTAGGGGTTGTCGTGTACTGTCGGCAGGTTTTCAGGCAGATGCCGTTAAGCACGTTGTTTTATTCCAGAGGCAAGTGTTCATGTTTCTGAATAACAATGAGCAACAGTTAAATGTGCAGGGTTTGCCAGCACAGATAGTCTACGATAGTCTGCTTTGAATGTGGGGATTTGGGGCATAAGAGCTTTGTGTGCCCACATAAAGGCCGTAGACAAGGTGGGGGTACAAGCGCCAGTGGGGGAAATCGAGGTCAGTGTGCAGGGGGCCATGAGACGCAGCCAGCAGAAGCTGGGCCTAGTCATGCTATAGATGGTGGTGTAGATGAGGCTGGGTCTAGTCATGCTACAGATGGTGGGTTAGATGAGGCTGGGCCTAGTCATGCTATACATGGTGGTGTTGATGAGGCTGGATCTAGTCATGCTATAGAGGAAGGTGTAGATGAGACTGGGTCTAGTCATGTTATGGATGGTGGTGTAGCTGAGACTGGGTCTAGTCATGTCATGGATGGTGGTGTAGATGAGGCCGGGCCTAGTCAGGTTATGCTAGTGGATGAGGAAAGTATAGTGGGGAAGGGTAAGTGACTAGGGGGGGGTGGGGGGGGGGGGGGTGGAGGAGGGTGTCAGGCGGAAGAGGAACAAGGGGGAGAAAAAAGGAGGTGGGAGTGGAGAGGATGGTGTGGTCAAAGGCACCAAGGAACCTTTGCTTGGTGCTGGGGGGGAGGCCACCACTAGAGAGAAAGGGCAGGTTCCCTTGGAGAGTTCATCAATGAGCTTGACGCCTTGATAAGTTCCTTTCCTGAGGATGGCTCACCCCTCACAGTTCTGGGGACTTTCACCTCCCTACGTCTACCTTTGACTCATTACTCTCTGCCTCCTTCTTTCCACTCCTCTCCTCTTTTGACCTCACCCTCTCACTGTCCCCCCCCTACTCACAAGGCAGGCAATACGCTTGACCTCATCTTTACTAGATGCTGTTCTTCTACTAATCTCACTGCAACTCCCCTCCAAGTCTCCGACCACTACTTTGTATCCTTTTCTCTCTCGCTCTCCTCCAACACTACTCACTCTGCCCCTACTCAGATGGTAATGCTCCGTCGCAACCTTCGCTCTCTCTCTCCTGCTACTCTCTCCTCTTACATCCTATCATCTCTTCCCTCTGCTCAATCCTTCTCCCTCCAATCTCCTGATTCTGCCTCCTCAACCCTCCTCTCCTCCCTTTCTGCATCCTTTGACTCTCTATGTCCCCTATCCTCCCGGCCGGCTCGGTCCTCCCCTCCTGCTCCGTGGCTTGACGACTCATTGCGAGCTCACAGAACAGGGCTCCGGGCAGCCGAGCGGAAATGGAGGAAAACTAGACTCCCTGCGGACCTGGCATCTTTTCACTCCCTCCTCTCTACATTTTCTTCCTCTGTTTCTGCTGCTAAAGCCACTTTCTACCACTCTAAATTCCAAGCATCTGCCTCTAACCCTAGGAAGCTCTTTGCCACCTTCTCCTCCCTGCTGAATCCGATCCTCGTTCGTTAAGTTAAATGACACCGCTGGTCCTGCTCACACTGCCCTACCCTATGCTTTGACTTCTTTCTCCCCTCTCTCTCCAGATGAAATCTTGTGACTTGTGACGGCCGGCTGCCCAACAACCTGCCCTGCCTTTCCGGAGACCTTCTCCCTTACCTCACCTCGCTCATCAACTCATCCTTGACCACTGGCTATGTCCCTTCCGTCTTCAACAGAGCGAGAGTTGCACCCCTTCTCAAAAAACCTACACTCGATCCCTCCGATGTCAACAACTACAGACCAGTATCCCTTCTTTCTTTTCTCTCCAAAACTCTTGAGCGTGCCATCTTTAGCCAACTCCCCTGCTATCTCTCTCAGAATGACCTTCTTGATCCAAACCAGTCAGGTTTCAAGACTGCTCT